TAAGTGGGAGAACCTGCACAATTGGTGGCTGACTAAATACTTTTTTGCCCCACTGTATGTCTAGCCAGCCAATTAAAAAGAAAGGGGAACTGAGCACAGTAGACCACTGGAAAGGATTACAAGTGTTTTGCTTGTTCTACTTGGTTGGACAGGTACCTTTTTTAGTGTGCTCATGTTATTTATTTCTATTTCTATCTTTATTTTTATACAATGCTGGGGATTTTTTTAATTTATATTTTTCATTTGGGTGCAATAAAAATATAAATTAAGGTGCTTCTTTTTTGTTTTTTTGCCACTAACAAGCAAAAATAACTGTTGACAATGAAGGAGAAAAAAGCAAAAAATCATTTTTTGAGGCAATACATTTTTTAGATCAATTAAAGTTTTTCAAAATAACTCTGGTTTCTGAGAACTCTGTATCACCCTACAATTTACCTGGGATATCTGCATGAGAGTACAATCTTAGATAATACATGGGAAAAATTGTTGCATCTACTCCTTTAGGGCTTCAGAGACAGAATGCATGCCAGGGTAAGGTGGGGTAGAAAATACATTGTTCTATGCTTGGCACATTGCATAACCATATCCCTTTTTAGAATGATCATATGAAAACCCACATTAGGGCAGGAACTCTTGCTTATGCTAATTTAATTTTTTCAGGCAACAAGCACACACAAGCTGGATACCCTGAAAGATTAAAATCTGAGGCTTACTTCTACTTACATAATAGTTGTCATTTATTTGTACCATTGGTGCATTTACACAAGCTCCTAAGCATTCAACTTCAGTCACAGTGAAGAGGTTATCAGGTGTAGTTTCCCCAACTTTTATACCTGAGGCAAGACAAATTAGTTTAATTTGTAATAAAGCAAATTGTAAAAATGAAAACTTTTATGGCTATTTGTCAATACAGCAATGTTCAAAAACATAGGAGTTTGTATATAAATCTGTGTTGGATTTACATGTGTCTATGGTTTCCCAATCTGATCTAGCCACTACAGTTGCAATCCAGTTTATAGGAATGTAGGGGTACACATTTGGCTGTTAAGAGCAGATTGAGATCTAACATTACACTTCAAACACTACTGGACAAAGACAAGTTTCAAATCAGTATTTAACAGAATGAAACATCTCAAGACAATATCTGAAATACCTTACAGGATTTAATGCTTAGAAGTAATAAATTATTAAATTAGTACCTGCCATAGTAACATAGTTCCACATTCCACCACTGGAATATCTTTAGCAAAGATTTGTGTTATGAGGATCTACAGTAATTTTTTGGTTGAAAATACTATGAAAATTGCACATTCAATAATGTCTTACAGCATGAAAATATTTTCTCTTTAATGCTAGAATAGTATATGGAAATGTCCATCGTCCAACACATGGAAGAAAGGAAATCTGACCATAATATCAGGACCTTAAAAGATGCAATATGATGCTACCTGTGAAATGAGAACTGCATGTATAGATAGTCCTTAGTTAACAACAATTTGTTTAGCAACCATTTGAAGTTACAATGGCACTGAATAGTAATTTATGCTCGGTCCCTGAAGTTATGGCCATTACAGCACCCCTGCGGTCACATAATCAAATGTGGGCGCTTGGCAGCCCGCCCACACTTACGACCCGCAAGGGCACTTCAACTTCCCCCCGTCTCCCCCCCCATCTCTGCCTTTTGGCCATCCTGCACTATGCCACTCCTAGCTGACCTTTGTCATCTTCCTCCCACTGCTGACAAGGGCCACCCAGCCTGGCCCTTCACAAGGCAGTTGCTGGCTGTGTAAGGCCTTCTTCCCAAGTCCCCATGCACCCTTCTGCAAGTTGCGTGCAGCCTTCTCACAAGGCTTTAGAAGCCTTCTGAGGCCTTCTGAATCCTTGCGAGGCCGCACACAGCCTTCTCTAAGTCATCCGCAGCCTTCTTGCAAGGCTTTGGAAGGCCTCAGAAGGCTTCTGAAGCCTCACAAGAAGGGCACATGTGGCCTCAGGAAGAAAGCCTCACACAGCCAACAGTTGCCTTGCAAAGGGCCAGGCCTTGTCGGCAGTGGGAGGAAGCCGACAGTGAAGGTCAGCTGGGGGTGGCAGGGCTGGTGGAGTTCAGGGCAGCAGAGGTGCAGGGCAGCGGGGGTGGCTTGTCCCTGGGGCAGCTGGGGGTTTGCACCATGGGGCTGGGGCAGCTGGGGCTTCATCTGGGGGCAGTGGCGGCCAGCTGAGACAACAAAGGCTCCGGGCCTCTACTTCGGCCCCAGCACTGCCGGCACCACACCACCAAGGAGTGCCACTCTGCAGGGTGGCCAAAAGGGCAGAGATGGGTGGGGAGATAGGCAGTTGGGGGGAGTTGAAGAGGAGGCAGTCCCTTACCTTGGAAAAAATGTGGCTCAGGACTGGGAGGGACCAAACTGAGAATGGCATGGATCAGGGTAGGTCCTTATCTAACGACCGGGTGGAATTTGCTTAATGACAGCAATGAGGAGTGCTGCAATTGCTGTCATTAAGTGATGCAGTCACATGATGTCACACTTTATGACTGCATTGCTTAGCAATGGAAATTCCAGTCCTAGTTACCATTGTTAACCGAGGACTATCTGTAGTGTATATGCAGCAATAGCAGAGTTTATTGGAGCATTTTAAAAACAATGTATTAACAAACTTGTGAATAATTACAGTGACTTCCAGTTTATTTCTTAGCTCAATTTCAAAGTTCTACTTCTGATTTATGGATTCTAAACAGCTCAGAATCATTTTATTTGAAAGACCATTTCTGTCTTTGAACCTGTCCATTATTTGCAGTCTTTGCAGGGCCAGTCCCACCACCAAGAAAGGTTAAGTTGACTAAAACACTAGGCAAAATCTTTTCTACAAGTGCTCTGATACTGGAACTCATTTCCCAAAGATCTGCTTGACTCTATATAATGCCAGCAAGGAAGCAAGCAAACCCCCCTCCCCCTCCAATTCTGCAGGGCCTATTTTTTCAAAGCAAAAGTGTACAATGTTTCCCCATTTTTTTAGTCTCTAACAACTGCAAGGAATATGACATTACTGTAAAAGGCAGGAATAAAGTATTTTTTTCCTTTTTTTAAGGAACATAATGAGCCAAACTATCTTAAATGAAGGCACTCATTTTATTTCATAAACTCCACACAAAACTATTTTGTGGGGTGGCGGAGGAATGAAATGGTAACTTTAAATTTCAGCAAGCTTAAATGTATGCATATTGCCCCTTAAGGGACCCCACCAAAAAGCCAAAATGTTTCCCCCCTTCTTCTCAAAAGTTACTCTGAGAGCTACAAAAGGATGTTGATTGTACAACTACATTTTAAAAAGCATCCTCAAGTAAAATCAGCTCTACTATAGCCATTTCAATGAAAGCTAGGTCATCAGTGTCTTGGTCTTTTTTTAAATAAACAATTGATTTCCATTATGACTGTTCATTATTTAAAAAAAAAAATTAAAAGGTAGTGTCTTGAGTTTCTTGTTTTTGTTTCTCTATCCCTTTTTGTGTTCTGTCTTTTTGGATTGTGAGCTACAGAATAGAGACTTTTGTTTTTATTAATCTGTATCTTGCCTTTGAATTCTTTCCAGTTGAAGACAAGATATCACTTTTTAAATAAGATGATTTTCTCTTTCTCCTGCATAAAACATATTTCAAATGTCCATGTCCCTTAAAATAGGAGTAGCCTTATGCTCTCATTTAAAATGTTTCCAAGATTGTGTTAATATCTAACTAATTTTAAAGAGTGCATGACTTTTAACATGGCATGTGTCTCAGTCTGATCCTCTTAAATCTAAATATATTAATTTATGAGACTGACTTCATATTACTTAAACATCTAGAAAGAAAAAAAAAATCTAGGTTAAGGCAAAGAAAATAACGAATGGCCTGTATTAAACATTTATTCCAGATCCCTGAAAATTCAGTGTAAACTAGTCAAGCTTATTCTAAAGAATGGAATAATTTTGATTCAACATTCATTTTGAAGTATGCTTTTTGGTTTTGTGGCATTAGTTAATATCATGTTTTTGTTTTCAGACTTGTAGAACACTGATTCTTTGTCAACTTTCTCTGTGTTTAAGGACTGAGTTCTTAATTAAAATAAATTAACATTTATTTGGTTATTTCAAATTAATTTGCAGTTAGTCACCTACAGGCAGTCCTTGCTTAATTACATTAATTGGGAGCAGAATTTCCATCACTAAGTGATGCAGTCGTAAAGCGCGATGTTAAGTGACTGCATCACTTAGCAACAGCAATCCTGGCACTTCCCGTTGCTGTCATTAAGCAAGGCTCTCAGGTCATTACGTGACGACCTCACGTGACCGTGACTTACTGCTGGCTTCCAACAAGCAAAGTCAATGGGGAAGCCAGCAGGTAGTCACAAGTCCTGGGCAGTCTGCAAGCAGGCTGGCAGGCAGGCGAGAGCTGTGGACGGTGGGTGGGTGGGGGAGGGGTGCTGCAGTGCCACTCAGGTGCAGACAGGTGGGTGGGCATGCACTGTGGAGTGGGGGGGCTGCAGGCACACGCTACAGAGTACAAAATCCCTGGGATCTCATACTCTATAGTGGGGTCCTCGGGAGAAAAAGTAGCAGAAGTGACTTGCTGGAGTAACTTGTGACTTTTCCTGCCAACTTCCCCATTGACTTTGCTTGGGGGAAACTGCAGGGAAGGTTCCAAATGGCAATCACATGGGGACAGGTCCTTGAAATTCCAGCTGTCGCAGCACCTCCATGTGATTGCAATTTGGGGATACTGCAACTGTCGTGTGAGTTGGTTGCCAAGTGCCCAAATTGCAATCACATGGGGGTGCTGCGACAAGGACCTGTTGCAATTTCAAATGCTTGCTGAACAAGTGATCATTAACTGAGGACTACCTATATGCTAGAGAGCCAGTTTGGTGTAGTGGTTAAGACATCAGCCAAGAAACCCAGAGACCATGAGTTCTAGTCCTCCCTTAGGCACAAAGCCAGCTGGGTGATTTTGGGCCAGTCACTCTCTCTCAATCCTAGGGAGGCAATGGCAAACCATTTAAGAAATCTTGCCAACAAAGTTGCAGGAATTCGTCCAGGCAGTTGCCAGGAGTCAACATTCATGTGCACACCTGTATGCAACATTTGGCCAGCAGCTCTCCAGTTCTTATTCTTATTTCTCTGAATATGACTTTGCCTAAGTTCATTTTCAAGTTGCTGGCTCCTGCTTTTTTAGGCTCTTACTTCTTTTGCCCCCTTTTCTTAGCTCTATACCAGCCTCTCAGGTCCCTTCATGGATCACTGCCTTGTCGTGGCAAAGGGGCTTGCGTAACTCAGTGAAGCCATGAGCTATACCGTGCA